TACCAGTCAGTAAAAAAAAAAAAAAAAAAAAAAAAAGATAAAAAGTCAGTTAACAGGGCCGGCCCGGTGGCGCACTGCTACAGTGCGCTGCTTGGGAGTGCGGCGGCGCTCCCGCCGAGGGTTCGGATCCCACATACAGACCGGCTGCTCACTGGCTGAGCGAGGTGCGGGTGCAACACCGAGGGTTGCGATCCCGTTACCAGTCAGTAAAAAAAAAAAAAAAAAGATAAAAAGTCAGTTAACAGACTCCACTGCACCTGCCCACCTCCAGGTCCAGCTGAACAAAGGTAGCCACTTTCAAATCTCTTCTATTTTCCTCCGTGTTGCCTAAATAACCTCCATGTATATATACACATACACACAATACATATATATTTTAAGTTTTTTTGGCTTTTTCATTTTTATTGTTTATATTTTTAAGTTTTAGATAACATCCAATGATTACTATTTTTTTTTTCCTTTTTGTCTTTTTTCGTGACCGGCAACGGATCGCAACCCTCAGTGTCGCATCCGTACCAGACCGGGAACGGCAACGGGATCGCAACCCTCGGTGTTGCACCCGCACCTCGCTCAGCCAGTGAGCAGCCGGTCTGTATGTGGGATCCGAACCCTCGGCGGGAGCGCCGCCGCACTCCCAAGCAGCGCACTGTAGCAGTGCGCCACCGGGCCGGCCCCCAATGATTACTATTAAGTAGGAATAAGGAGTTCTCTTCCATCTCCCATCCTCCCTACAGCAAAATCAATAGTCCTTGCTTTCATTATTATGATTCTGTAAATCATATTTGCAGTGAGCCCTGTAGGCACACCTGCCTGACAGTGCACATGTAGGCAGGGACACCCTTTTTACTGGAGAATCTTGGATGAACAGCCTCCCTAAGAGAGGGCTAGACATAGATCCCCACACTGACACCTTTAGCCCAGACTGTCCCAAAATGCAAACTACACCTACAAGTGTCAAAAATTAACTCATCTTATGGCCTCTCTGTGAAATAACTATGTGGAATAAATATTTCCCCCTATTTTCAGTTTTCTATCAAGTGGGTTTGGGGTTAGTGCCTTGTTAGGTCATGCTGGGGGTGAAACTTTAAACAGGGACTTTAAAATACACACCCACACGTTATTCTGATTAGTTTGATCATAAAGCGTTTCAAAGGGGATGTTGGTAGCTACAGGGAAAACGGAGCAGAGTTCAAAATGTCAAGGCTGAGTGCGCCAGTTGGGAGTGTGGCAGCGCTCCCGCCGAGGGTTCGGATCCCATGTGGAGACCAGTTCCGCTCACTGGCTGAGCGCGGTGCGGGTGCAACACCGAGGGTTGCGATCCCGTTGCCGGTCAGTAAAAAAGACAAAAAGGAAAAAAAAAAAACAACCTTATAAAACTTTCTGACTCTCTTGTGAACCCATTACAGTTGTCCATACTCCTAGTCTGTTCTCAGACCTTTATGGGTTCCCTCTTCCAGCAGGGCACAGTGCTCATGTCTCCAATGGTCACCCTCGAGTGCAGGACCCGCTCCATCATTTGCAGGGCCCAGTGCAGAATGACAACGCGGGCGCCCCGTACAAAGTAGGAAGAATTTCACGACAGCAGCAGCAGTGTGCTCAGCTGAGGGGGACGCTCCTGCACGGTGTGTCACGTTGATGAGGAGACTCAGAAGACATTCTGCCAGGACCCTTGTGGAGGCCTGCTCTGGTCTGTGTGCCTGGTCTTTACTCCTTTCTGTTGGAATGCTGGAGTATTTTCAGTACTCCACGAGCAGATCATTCCACTTCTGGATTCCTTTCAGAGCTGGAACCCCAGCTTGCCGTGGGCCGGGGCCTCAAGCAGTCACCCGACCTCTTTGCCCTCCTGCTTCCCACCTGGTCCCTTCTCCTGGGGGAATGTGACGAGGCACATGCCCAGCGGGACCACAGCCTTGACAAACGTCACTTGCGTCTATCCTCTCCACTGGCAGGGAGTGACAGAAGAAAGGATTTTATTTCTAGGTTTTTAATTCCTTATGTTTATTGTAATTCTTATATTTGGGGATTAGTCTTGGGCACACGCTATTGGGTGTGCGGCTGAGGCCGTTTCCTTGGGCGCCCTCCTGAGGAAGAGACGGCGGACTCTGAAATCCGGTCGAGGGAAGGCAAGCAAGCTGGCCATCTTAAAAGTGGGAGAAGCCAACAAACCCACCTTATTAGAGTCCCACGCATCCTTTGGAAGAAGAGCTATGTCTCTTGCAAGAAAGGGACTCAGGACTCCTGCCTCTGCGTGCGGTGGCCAGTCAAATGCTAGGTCCACCACATTCTAGATGGGAGACCTGGGCAAGTTGGTTTGCCCCCTGTGCCTGTGCCACTGCAGCTGTAAAATGGGGCCACCAATAGCACCGCCCCCTCAGATTGAACGAGGTGAGTCCTGCAAACTCACCAGCCCCTGCTGAGGGCCGCACAAGTGTTTTGTTCTTAAATACGATAAAATGGTTTTGAAGGGAAGGTGTTATGGGCTGAATTGTGTTTCCTCTTCACCCCCTGAGCAATTTATGTGTTGAGTCCTAACCCCCGGGACCTCAGAATGTGACCGTATGTGGAGATAGGGTCTTTAAAGAGATGATTAAAATGAGGTCGCTAGGGTGGGCCCTGATCCAATCTAACTGGTGTCCCTGTAAGGAGAGGAGATTAAGATACACACAGGGGACAACCATGTGAGGACACAGCGAGAAGATGCCGTCTACAAGCCAAGGGGAGGCCTCAGGAGAAACCAGCCCTGCCCACAGCTTGATCTTAGACTTCCAGCCTCCAGGACTGTAAGAAAATAAATTTCTATTGTTTAAGCCACCCACGCTGTGGCAGCCCTAGCAAATTAATATCAAAGCTATAACATATTGTATTCCCAAAATGCTTAGGAATAATGCCCAATTTATGCCTTTATTCAACATGCTTGGTCAGGGATTCCTGCGTGATATTTGAACTGCTCCGCGGTGACCCCGCGAGCCCACCCTTGCCATCACCTTCACCTCTGAACTCAGACCTGGGCCTGGCCATCATCATGCCACTGGCCTGTCATGGAAGGTTTATGGTTTCAACAGACAAGGCTTAAGGTCCTTCTAACTGTAAACCAGAAGGACCAGGACTGTGAGTCATAAGGTGTGGAGGGCACTGAACATTGATTGAGCATCTGCTGTGTGCTAGGTGCTGTACCAAGCTAGTTCCTTAGTATCCTGTTTAACCCCAAAGCCCGCCTGTTCGCAGCCAGATGACGAGCCTGGCTCAGTCCTCCTTTACAAATCTAATTTCAGACCCATGTGCTTTCAGCATCTGCCCTTTGACTCTCTCTTCTCCTTTCTTCCTTTGCCTTTTCTTCCTCGTTGCTCAAACCCTGGTCATTCCCCCGCTCTTGGTGTCTCCCGAGTCCTCCTGGTAACTTTCAGCTCTACTTCCTATCGCTCGCCCCTTCTCTTCCCTCTAACCCACTTCTCACGGCATGTTTCATGCTGTATTCCTGTTGCCTTCCTTCCTGGAGATCCTTCTGACCACCTCACCCCACATGCCCGCCCCAACTTAAACAGCAGGAATTCGATCCTGATCTGATGCTCCATTTCTGACTTCGAAGTGAAAGGAAATCTCAGAATTTCTTACTGAGCAGCAGCATAATTTAGGAACAAAAATTACAGTCACTGGAGCCAAATTGCCTGAGTTTAAAGACCACCTCTGCTGCTTACTTACTGTGTGACTTTGGACAAGATACTTAGCCTCTTTGCCTCAGTTTCCTCACCTGTAGGGTAGGGGAGGGACAGTTTGTCCCTCACAGATGATAAAGCCCTGTTGGAAAAATAGAATAGTTTGGTCAGGGCCCTCGCCTCGGGTCCAGCTGAGTGTGGTTCAGCATCTTTTGTAAGCAAATTGTGTGTGTATGTGTGTGTGTGTGTACTTAGTGCTCATGTGCTCCAGTGTATCTTTTTAGTTTTGTTGCTGTTCTTGGTGGGGGAGGGAGAGAGAGAGATAAAGAGACAGAGAGAGAGAAAGAGAGAGTTTAGTGAGGCAGGAGGGTGGGCGTCAGCCTCGGGCGTCTGCTTGGTGCAGCCATGCTTTCCAACCTATGGTTCCAAGGAACCTTTGGCCAGTTACCTAGCTCATAGACCGGCGTGAAGGGGTCTGGGGACCCAGCCTGGCATGTGAAGGGTTTGTGACCCAGTCTGTGAATGGGCTTCAGTGGTCTGTAGGCTCCAGACCCGGCCTTAGCTCAATGGTCGACCCAGTTGGCAGGATTACCAGCAGGTAAAAGAGCCCGACAACTAGCCTGATCACCTAGCTTTACAATTGGCATCACGAACAGGATTAAGAGAGCTAGACAAGTCCTTTGAAGGGTGCCCACCTTTGTCAACCCACAGTGCATACTGGTTATTACCGATCCCCAGAGAAGCTCTCACATGAGTGTGGCCACCTTTGAGGAGAAACAGAATGTACATTTGGTTAAATCAGTGAGTAAATACAGCTTCTTTTTTTTTTTTTTAAAAAGATGACCGGTAAGGGGATCTTAACCCCTGACTTGGTGTTGTCAGCACCAAGCTCACCCAGTGAGCTAACCGGCCATCCCTATATAGGATCCGAACCTGTGGCCTTGGTGTTAACAGCACCGCACTCTCCCGAGTGAGCCACAGGCCGGCCCCAATACAGCTTCTTTTGTAGCTTCCAGTTTTCCAAAACAGGGCCTCCAAACACACCGTCATTTACTGTATGCACGTGGCTGGGAGCATCGCCACCTGGGGCCACGGCTCGCATTACCTTGGCGGCTTTCTGCCGGAGCCACTCGCTGCGGAAAGTATTCCCCGCGTCAGGGGACACAACTCATCTGCTTTCAAACTCACGCCTGTTTCCCTGCGCCTCAGCACTCCTGGGTAAATATATCTGGGGCTTGATTCACGTTGCTGGGTAAACATAAACTGGACTGCCCCTGCCTCCTGGTCACGGTCACTGAATTTGTTGCTAAAAAACGAGCAGATCCCTTTCCAGGGATTGGAAAAGCACAATTGTGAAATTAGCCCCAGAACGGGATTTTTTTTTTTTTTTTTTAAGATGACCGGTAAGGGGATCTCAACCCTTGACTTGGTGTTGTCAGCACCATGCTCACCCAGTGAGCTAACCGGCCATCCCTATGTGGGATCCGAACCCTTGGCCTTGGTGTTATCAGCACCGCACTCTCCCGAGTGAGCCACAGGGCCGGCCCTGGATTTTTTTTTTTTTTTTTTTTTTTTTTTTTGA